CATTTTCGTTCTACAGGGTGTTAAAGTTGAAAAAATATTTTCCTTTTTTTATCTATATTTTAAGTATGTATGGACCGATTGTTTTGAAAATTTGTAGTTTTACGTTTTTTGAGGTGGCAAATACGAATATGCAAATAGTGTTGGGTTCATGTCTAAGGGGCGCTAGTTGTACTGTCCTGTCAATGTAAAAATATGTCTAACTTTTTATATTTTACAATTTTGAATTTTTTAACTAGAAATTGTTGAACTACGTTCAAATCTAAATAAAAAATGTATACTTGTTACAAATCGATAAACTCAACTGTTTTCGAGATACAGACATTTTAAGTTTTTGAGATTCGACGGGAATTAAATTAGAAAATTATTTTTTCCAAAATAGTAGGCATGGACATAATAAATTGACAGCTGTCACTACAATACCATATTGTTTTCTACTCAATTTGACTAAGAAGTAGTTTTTTCCTTGTCGTTATTTTTTAGAGAAAAGAATATATTAATGAAAGGCTAAGAAAGTGCATTGAAGTTGCTGGTAGTTAATAATTTCTTTAAATATGCATAATAAAATCTTTAATTGCTGTAATGTTTGTCTTAATTCTTAATTCAGGCTTGGTATCTTAAGACCTGCTAATTTTCTAATTTAATTCCCAACGAATCTCAAAAACTTAAAACGTCTGTATCTCGAAAACGGTTTAGTTTATCGATTTGTAACTAGTAAACCTTTTTTATATGGAATTGAACGTAGTTCAATAATTTGTAGTTAAAAAATTCAAAATTGTAAAATACAAAAAGTTAGAGATGTTTTTACATCGATAAGACAGTATAACTAGCGCCCTCTAGACGTGACCACAACACTGTTTGCATATTCGTATTTGCCTCCTCAAAAAAACGTAAATCTACAAATTTTCAAAACAATCGGTCCATACATACTTAAAATATAGATAAAAAGGAAAATATTTTTTCAACTTTAACACCCTGTAGAACGAAAATGAGCAATAATTGATTAAGGCATGTTTGGCTCAATCACTATATTTTGTCGTTAACAATATGCCAGTAAGCTGTGTACTATTATTAATGACTCACCCTGTATACTTCCAAAAACGTTCCTCACCTGGTCACTACAATACCAGTCTTTGTAATTTATTGAATAATCGTTTACACAACTTCCCCCCCGGCCTAGGCATTGACGTCCCCTCTCGCCCCTACAGGTTCGAGGTGATCTACAACCTGCTTTCCCTACGCTACAACGCCAGGATGAGGGTAAAGACCTATACAGACGAACTGACGCCGTTGGATTCCGTCACGAGCATCTACAAGAGCGCCGACTGGATGGAGAGGGAGGTATGGGACATGTACGGGGTGTTCTTTGCCAATCATCCCGATCTCAGGAGGATTTTGACGGACTATGGGTTCCAAGGACACCCCTTCAGGTAGAATATTCTGTAGCTTGATATTATTCTAGAGCAGCGGTATTCAAACTGTGCTCCGCGGAACCCTAGGGTTCCCCATAACCGCTTTGGGGGTTCTGCGACTCAGTCAAAGATTTAAAATTTTGAAATTAATGGCGATATTACAAAATCCAAAAAAATGTATACTCTTAAAACTAGTATTTATAAATATATTATATAATCAGTAAAAAATGTGTTCGAAAACTTTTTTAGATGTGGGGGTTTCTCAAAAAAAATGTTGGCCAGGTTCCGCAAGTCCTAAAAGTTTGAAGACCGCTGTTCTAGAGCAACCACCAACGCGTATAACCCTACAGCTTTCACTATGTGGGTTTGATGTGATATTTTGAAATATTTGGAAAACGTGTCATTCTTTCGAAAAGATATTTTATTTACCCTTCTCTTAAAAAAAAAATTCCTTGGAAAGAAACGCCGTTTATGCCCATTATATCGGTTACATTTAGTTCTCTCAAAAATGTGGTCGTGTTAAGTGTTGTTCTCCATATCCATACTGGTTGTGAATAATCGCATAAAAAGCTGTAAGATACGGTGTCAAAATTTGTTATTACTGGATTGAACTTGAATGTTGTTTGTTTCAATGATTGTACTATTTTCCTATACTTATGTGTGTTGCTTTTTTTAGCTGTCATTAATGTTTACATAAAATTTGTGTGTAGTATTGTGTGGTATATACACTTGTCGGTAACTCAAGGCGATTTCTAGAAAATTTGTAAATGTTTACATGAGTATTTAAAATATGTTCCACTGCTATGTGATAGCAAAAGCTGCAATATCCATAAAATTGTGAGATTTTATTAGCATTTATTTATCACAACTATATGTATAGTCCAGTCCAATTAGATCATAAACCCCGAAAACTTAAAAAAAAACTTTTATTCAACTTTATGATGGTGAAGGGTATGTGGAATTATAATATCAAAAAAAATATCTTGAAAGAAGTGACGCTAAGTTGGCAAATTGCAAATATGCGGCAAAATTATGTTTTTTCACATTTTTTACTGCCCACGAAAATTTAGACGACCTATCAGTATGTTAATTATTTCATGTCGTAGGCAATTAAATTATCTACAATTTAAGGTACCCAAAGTCATATTTCACCAATTTGTTAACTGTAAAATAAAGGTCAAACGCGGAAAAATCAGTTTTCGAAAATCGCGTGTTATTATTGCAAAAAGCGATGGATGTTGAAGAAGTTTATGAAAAAGACGACCAATCCAATGACCAACGTGTGTGCCAAAGGCCGATTTGATTGACCGTGAAATTGTTGATTAATTCCGTTCGTTTTTTTTTTCCAACTAACTCACAGGCCGACAAAATTTCAAAAAAGGAAAAACCCAGAAAGCAGACAATACGTCCCTGAAGGTTTTTGATGCGCTGAATTCGAATCTAACCGTGAACCTTGACCTTTTAGGTTAGGTAATCTCAAAAACTTGAGGTCATTGGAAAATATTGAGGTTAGGTTCGAATTAAGCGACCCAAAAAATATAAAAATACGTTATGTCTGCTTGCTAAAATATTTCTTAATTTGGACACGGTGTAAGAAAGTAGTTGAAGTAGTAATTTTCAATTAACGATATCTTGAAAAATAAGTATTTTTGCAAACCGAAAGAAGGGTTTTGAGGGTAAAGATTCTACTTTTCAGTGGTGCAATTGATTTTTAGAAAAAAAAAATTATTCGCGATGTCATATAACCTTGAACACAGAAAAGAAAACCGTGCTTTTTACACATTTAGGTTAGGATACCTCGAAAAAATAGATTCGGATTCGGTGCGTCAAAAACCTTCGGGGACGTATTGTCTGCTTTCTGGGTTTTTTTCTTGATGGCCTGTGTTACTAAACGTTAATTTTAGAAGTCTATATTGTGGATATTAGTTCTAATTGATCCAAAGAAACGTATTGAAAAAGAAAAATTAAGTTGCCCTTTACAACTAACATGGTAGGATATGCAAAACATCGTTAGAAATAAATTTATTATTTTTGCATTAAATAAAGCTTAATTTTACTGTAATGTAAAGAAAAAACAAATCACATCTCTTTATTCCCTAGATAGTATTTTTTATAACGTCAATTGTTAACTATTGGACGTATGGGACTGGGATTTTAGAGACAATTAGAGAAAGGTTTAAAATTTCAAAATATCAGGGTTTTTTTAATGCGAGAACTAATAATGAATCTTTTTTTAAAGAATTCAGTAAAAAAGAAAACATTTTTTAAATAGAAAAACAAATACAGTCGATCTAGTCATGTTCAAAGTTTTAGTTTTTAAAAGTTTAATTTTTAGGCATAATTTTTTTCTGTTAATATTTATTTTTTCCCTACGAAAAGGAAAGCTACCTAAAGACACAATCCCAGGTAAAACATAGAAACGAAAAGATCTCTCTGCAGGTGTTTTTGTTTTACGTAAATAGTCTTTGTCATGGGCCATAATAGAGCAGCAAGAATACAAGATATTTGTAAATGATTACATTTTTTAACAATTACAATACCGGGCGGGACAATTATCTTGAGAAAAAAATAATAGCTCGGTTGACTGAATTATTTCGAAAAAAATTTCAGACAAAAACTGTAGGGTACTGAGGCCATTGAAAGGTCCACTTTACGACTTCCGGTCCAGAGCGGAAGTGGTTTTTTAGATCGGAAGTTGTTTTTTTTATGGAAACGCATTTTTACCACGGGTTTCGATTGAAAAACGAAAAAAAAACTTTTTGTTCTTATTATTTTTTCGATTTAACCCATATTTTGGCCATAAAGAAACAAAAAAACAAGAATCTTGAGACAACGAAGCACCTTGTTGGAATCACTTTTTTTAAAAAAATGTTTCAAACAAAAGTTGTAGGTTAAAAAGGGAGCTTTCATTTTATTTCTTTATTAATCTGATTTCTAGTTACTGTCGTGGTATAATTCAATGTTTTCGGGACTTAGCCCACACTCCTTATACAGTTTCATACTTTATTGCTAATTTTTTATTTATAAAGTCCAACGCGACTCCTGAGGCTGTGTGTAATAAAAGCGATGAAACGTCGACAAAATGTAATAGCGATTTTTTTCCTGAAAGTCGCCCACAAATATTTAAAAATCCCGTATTTACCTCGCGCGTATTTTTATATACTCGTATTATACATTAAATATAAAATAACCGATGCTTGTGACATATTTGCAACATACAAAGGCCCCTATGATGAAGAAATTGTTCGAAAACAGCGCCGTACACGGGTGGGAGTTTCATGTTATTCAGGATTTTCAAACACGTATATCCATTACGCAATTAGGGCTCCTCTTTTACTGCCTTCATTTAATATGTCTCGTTCCTTTTGAAAACAATTCCCCTAAAAGCAGGCGTACTTTTTTTATGTCGCTTTATACATATACTGTCGAAGCCTTTGCCTAAACGAAACCGAGATGTTTCTTAGAACGTAACGGAAATATCTAAAATACAACAGATGGTCGTTAAATTACAAGAACTGTAGAAATCGTTAGTGTTTTGTTTTAGAAAGGATTTTCCCCAAACTGGATACGTAGAGGTAAGGTACGACGATGAGAAGAAGCGAGTGGTTTTTGAACCATTGGAACTGGCGCAAGAGTTCAGAAAATTCGACCTTTCCTCCCCCTGGAATAGGTTGTCACCCTACAAGGAAAAGAAAGAAGGAGCGAAAGGGGAAGACAAGGAGAAAAAGAAAAAGCACAAAAAAACATGTTAAGGCGGAAAAACTATTTCCTTTGATGAGAGAAAAGTTATTTCTTTAGTTTAACTGTTAAACAGCTCCATTTATATGTAAAAATAACCAAAGAAACACTGCTAAATAAGATTTTTTGAAGTTGTTTAAAATATTTAATAGATTCATACCCATGTGTATCAACAGAATATTAAGGTCATGGAAATTCTGAAAAAAATATATTTACTATTTATTATACTTATATGCAGGAAATGCTTGTTTTCTAATATACCAGAAAAAAGTTATGAAAAAGCTGTAATAGATTCATACTCCTGTGTGTATGTGTGAATAGTTCTATTCACACATACACACAGACTTGAAAAATTGGAGACTATCCAAAACTTTTGTTTCCATGACATTAATATCTAAAAAACATGTCGCTAAAACAAGTTTCTTAAGTTCTTATAAAAAATCCAGTAGATTCATACCTGTATGTGTGAATAGAATATGGAAAAGTTGGAAACTTCAAACAACCTGTACATTCCTTACAAATATACGTAATACCTGTTTTAAAAACTAATTAACCAGAAAAATGTTGGAAACAGGTTATCTTAAAAAAAATTGTAGGTAATAGATTCATACCTGCGTGTATGAGCAGAAACTATATTTTCAATATATTGATACGCAGAAAATACGTGTTTTAAAAATAATATACCAGAAAAAAGTTACAAAACCAAGTTTTCTACGATCTTTTAAAAATTCATACCCCTAGGTGTGAACATTGAAAAATTGGAAAGCATCAAAAACTTTTATTTCCATGACATTTATATCTAAAAATATATGCGTTAAAACAAGTTTTTTGCGTTCTTATAAAAAATCCAATAGATTCATACCTGTGTGTGTGAATAGAACATAGAAAAGTTGGAATCTCCGAACACCCTGTACATTCCTTACAAATATACGCAAGAAATATTTGCAAAAACAGGTTTTTAAAAAAAATTGTAGGTAATAGATTCATACCTATGTGTATTTTTAAATATAATTACCAAAGAAAAACTGCTAATACAATTTTTTCCATCTTAAAAATATATTTTAATGGATTCATACCTGCATGTATGGGATAAAACTATATTTTCATTATATTCATATGCAGGAAATATGTTATTTCAAAACTAATATAGGTACCAGAAAAAAGTGACATAACCAAGTTTTCTTTTAAAAAATTAGCATAGATTCATACCCCTGTGAATAGAACATTAAAACATTGGAAACTACCAAAAAATTTTATTTTCAAGACATTTATATCTAAAAAATATGTCGCTAAAACAAGTTTCTTGTGTTTTTATAGAAAATCTAATAGATTCATACCTACGTGTTTGTGAATAGAACATGGATAAGTTGGAAACTCCGAACAACCTGTAAATTCCTTGCAAATATTCGTAAGATGTGTTTTAAAAGTTAATATACCATAAAAATATTACAAAAACAGGTTTTCTTTAAAAAGGTCGTAGGTAATAGATTCATACCTGTGTGTATTTTTAAATATAATAACCGAAGAAAAACTCTTAAAACTAATTTTTTAAATGTAAAAAATATGTATAACAGATTCATACCTATGTGTACGAAAAGAGCAATAAAAATTTGAAAATTGAAAGTAGGTACGTGTTATGAAAAGTAATAAACCAGCAAAAGCGACGGGAAAACATGTTCTATATCTTTTTTAATAAGGCAATGAAAATTTTTTAAAAATTCGTATTTTCGCTACAGTTATATACAAGAATAATCAATTTTTAAAATAAAAAAATACATTTTTACGTACTTTGAAGTGATTCTAATAGATTCATACCTATGTGTATGTGAAGTTGGATGCTGCTAAAAACCTTAAAAATACGTATTTTGAAATGTACAACACTAGAAAAAACGTTGCCAGAACAAGTTTCATACATTCTTTAAAAAAATTGTAATAGATTCACCTGTGTCTATAAATGAATATTGAAAAATTGGAAACTCTGAACAATCATCAGTGTACATTACATTATACGCACAAAATATGTTTTAAAAACTAATAAATCAGAAAAAATATTGCAAAACCGAGTTGTCCATGTTCTTTAAAAAATTTTAACAGATTCATACCTCTTTAAATATGTATATTTGTTATATTTATTTATATGCAAAAATATGTGTTTTGACAACTAATGAACAATTAAAAGCGTTGCAAAAACATATTGTGTACGTTCTTCACAATTCATAAAAAAATCAACTAGATTCATACCTATGTATATGTACAAATAGAACATAGAAAATTGGGCGCTTTTAAAAATATAATGTTGCTACATTTACATGCCAGAAATAGGTATGTATTTTGAAAACTAATAGACCATAAAAAAGGTGCAACGTCATTTAAAAAATATCCGTTAGATTCATACCTGTGTGTGTGTGTGAAAACAAATTGGAAGCTTTATATATTCATTGCATTTATACACAAAAATTTGTTGTAAACATTAATATAATACAAGAAAAAAGCATCGCAAAAACATATTTCTTAGATTCTTTAATAATAGATTCATACTTAATGCCTAATTATGTAACAAAAAAATGGAAGCTGCTAAAAACTTTTTTCTCCCCATCTGATTTGCGATAAATACGTATTTTGAAAGCCGCCATACCAGAAGAAAATGCTGTCAAAACTGTCTTTATATTATTTTTAAAAATTATAATAGACTCATACCTGAGTGTGTGAATAAAACATGGAAAAATTGGAAACTATCACTGGCACAGGTAGGGCAATAGTCAACACTCCTGCAAGGGCACAAAGCGCTCCAACAACCATCCCCGCGTACGTCTTGGGTGCCATATCGCCATAACCTACTGTGGTCATTGTAACGATAGCCCACCATAGTCCTTCAGGTATACTCTTGAAGCTGTTATCCTTGTTATCCTGTAACCAATACGACAATAACTATAAATTGAACAGTTGGAAAATACATTAATGTTATGTAAAAATGTTCCTACTATATTTTAGATTTGCATATTTCAAAATCAGATACGATGTTCATAAAGCATGTGTCAAATAATAACAGTAAATTAATATTGTCGAGAGCAGCTTCAGAATTAGCTTGTTATAACGTGAACAACAAACAAACGAAATAGCCTGGAGCGATGCAGCAAAACAATTGATAACTATGCATTAGTATTGTTCCAAGGCACGCCATTCTATTTTTAAATTTATGAATACCTATATGTAAACAAAACTGAATTCACAATAATTGAAAACGAATATAAATTTATTATACGCATTTTGTTAATCCAATTTATATAATAATTAAAGATAAATCATATAAACTGAACAAAGGATAATTGAAATGTTTTCATGACATTATACCTATCCGATGCAGTGAGTTTCTTTGATAAATATTTGTGTTTAGAATAATTTTCAATTATATTTCGAAATTCGTATGTTTAACTGCAATGTGATATATAGGATGTCTGATATTTTAGGTACCATTGTTTTTCTGGTTGTTAAGCCGTAACCTGTGCACCTTGTCGCCGTCACTTACGGACTAACCTGGCACTCTCATAGCCTTAGCTAGGATTCTTTGACTTATCCTTGTTCTAGAGCTAGTAAAAGCCTGCAAATGTACACAATAAGAATGCTGGAACTGCTCCCGTAATCACACTGCATAATAGTATTTGAATCACCAATTCAGGTGCAATATTGCGGGTACTGCGGTTCAGATTTTCCTTGACAAGGTGTAAAGTATCAACGGTGTTTCTTATTTGCGACCTATTTACTTTCTGGTTGTCTGTTTGTATGTAAATCTTTAGAGGTAAAGATTTACATACAAACGACAAGTCACCCGTAAATTAATACCATATGCGCTAATCTTTTATGTGAATAAAGCATTTAAACCACACTGTTGCTGCATTGTGAACTATTATCAGTTGATTGCGTGGCGTGGTGCAGGGTCCGCCCATGTTTCGCGTAATAATTCTTGATTAATTATCCTGCAGAAATTATACTTTAGACTGGTTGCTTAATTACAATACTTTATTTTACGTCATATTCCTTGAAAGAAGCATACTGTATATACTATATCCAAACGTTTTAATAGAATTGTTTCCATTTCTTAATTCTAACTAGAAAACCCAATATTTATCTCTCCACTTACTCGACTGGTCTATTTGATGAAAATATAGTCTGAAACAGGATAATTCACCAATTCATTTTATCCACAAATCTACTATAACTCGACCTTGAGTAGAGGATAGGGCTTAGGTCGCATAAACAATTGCCTTGTTGATTAGTTTGTTTGTTTTGCATGATTCAAATGTTTTGACTTGTTTACTTTGTTTCTAAATAAGTACGCTCAAATATAACATATAATACGTTATTTTAGTTGTCTATAATACCATCAAATCGAGTAAATTTCTTAACTTTTATTAATTCAGAATATGCAGCATGACAACAACAGATCAGAAGAATAAAGCAAAGGGAGAGCCTCTAATATGTTTTTTTTTTTTTTTTCGGTAATGTCAGTACATTAGCGGTGACCGATGTAAAAATATAAAAAAAATGTAGCATAGTAGTCACATACACCGCAAGGATTTCCATACAACGTATTTGAATAGAAATTGATACCCCACGCATTTTATTTAATTGTTCAATTCGAACTAATTACTCACTTTGCCGCAGTTCGGGAAACAAAACCAAAATTGCATTTTACTGTCGCTAAATGAATGTAATTGAACCGAAAACCGCAGCGACAATCTATGTGATAAATACTGCAGTTCGCCATATTCAATATATTTGGTAATAGTGATGTGGGCAGTGTTTTATGGGTACCGTTTAGCTAATAGTTCGCGCTGTCGCAGTAGGCTATGCACTGTAAGTTAATAAAAAACTATTCAACTTTTTTCTGAACCACCTACTAGTTTTAAACACTGGGCAACGCCTTTAAGAAAACACAGGAGTAATAAAGTGGTCTAATTTGTTTTTAAAATATTGTTTAATTCACACTATTCACACCATAAATGTTTGAATGTGAATTTTTATTCAATAATTAATTATTAATTAATTATTAATAAAATAATTAATGCCGAAAATTAATGCCCAGGGATAGTTGTCTCTAACCGTTATTTTTGAGTAAGTATACATTTTGACCAAAATAAACAAAATACTTGATCATAAAAATTATGTCATATAATAAAATTACCGAGTGCGGTATCCGTAAGAGTTGATTTCTTACATGCACATAACTTTTTTATACTAGTAGGACCTCCAGTCCAACTAAATTATTCCAAAAACGCAATTTTACACTACAGCAACAGAAAAACATTTAATAAACGTATTAGTTTGACAGATATGACTCCAATGAGACATTTTTCAATTTTTTTGGATGTAGCGACCATTATTAATGCATGAGATGCATTGACAAACGAAATGACCCACAATTTACGGTGCAAACTCTGGAGTCCTCAAACTCTTATAACGATGTATGTAGGGTGTCCCAAAAAAACATGAACCTCCCGATAAGGATTGGGTCCTATCAGTAAAACTTTCAGATAAAAATTGTAGAATATCAAGAAACCAATATGAAGATGACCCTAAATTTAACCTTGACTTTAAGTTCCAAGGTTAAGATAAGGTCAACTTGAAAATATTAAATAGAACATTCTATTTTTTATGCCAGTGTTGAAAGACTGTCAAATTTTATGTTTATGGATCATGGATTTTACTATGAGGATCAGAATATTTTTCCTATAATTGTTGGATTTTAAATGCCAATTCAGATGGTGACCTTGGATTTTACCCTCACGAAACTTTGCAACGTCAAACTAAGGACAACTTAATATCAAATGTAAATTTTGTAAACATTGTAATTAATTTACAATGCTATTACATAATGAAGAACACGAAAGTTGTAGGTGTCCTAGAATTTTGTGGAACTCATTAATTCGACTGAATGAATGTGCTTCCCTTCTCTTCAATTACCTGCACACCACATCAAAAATGGTAAGCAGTGACTCATTCTCAACGCGTAGATTATGCGAAATATAAGGCGTACGGGAAACGTGTTTCCATGGGCGTTTCATTTTAGAGGGTTTCAAAAATTATTACGTATAGAACAACAAGCTAGATTTTAACTTTACTAATTTAGACACATTTGGTACATCTAAATATCGAAAAGGTAAGTAGGTACGCTTTTATTGAAGTAAAGTATGTATTCAAAAATTCTGCTGAGGATGGTCTGCTAGCAATCGAACAAGTGTAACACCACGAGCTTTAACCACATTCCATCCACTATACATTTTATGGATTTAACTTTTTTTTTGTGTAATTGCTATTAATAGTAATTGTATGTACTTTTAACATGTCTCTTTATATTTAATAAGTTTTCCATTCGACCATTCCATGATTTTTCCTTCTCTCCAAGAAGCTGTTGACAATTTTTCTATTCGTCTATTATGGTAAGACGCATTATCCATAATAATCACAGCACCAGATTCGATGAGTGGAAAAATTGACACAAATTATTTTTTAAATACCCCACTTTATATATCATCATAATAATTTCCCGTGTTTGCGACTTGGTAAACCATTATCCAAAAATCCTCATCCTAATCCCATATGTGAAATTTTTAATCGGCATCTTTTTCCAAGGAAGTTACTTTAATTCCGTAGCAAATCCTTTTAAAAATGCTTCTGCTGTTGACATTTAAATCTTATCAAACTTTAGAGACCATATGTCCTTCCTTTATCAATGTTTAAATTTACTCCTCTATGTGTCCCACTTGTACGCCTATGACATGCACTGACACGCCTCAGTTAAAACATGATATGGAAAGACAAATAGGCGGAATATATCGGAACACTACGCAAAATGAACAGCACAATACAGTTTCATGCAGGGAATACACAAAATTGTTTGAGATTCAGATAAGTAAAAATTGTGATTTAATTGATTTATGATTCTAGTGTCTAGTATTCTGGGCGCTGGAATTTAAACGTACAGAACCAGTCCAATTTACCAATACCGTCCCCATCGAATTTCATCACAGCAATCAACTGCTATCTTCTCGTTACCGCAACTCGTCTTCGCCTGTGCTAACTTAATTAATAATTTGTAAATGGAACTTCGGAATCTAACAATTTATGCAATGAACCGTACATTTCAGCGCCACCAAACTGTTCCCCTTCTTATTCGAGCGCCATCTGTGTGTCCTTGTTGCCACCCACAATATTTAAGCATTGCCCTGTTCTGAAGTATCCCTTTTGGTCGGGGAAATGCACATAATTAATTAACACCGTCCACATTTCCATTTGTCATACGCCAGATAGTGTCCTGCATAATATTTAGTTAGAACTACCCTCGGTCGTATACAGAGTGAACTAGAAAAAATAGACGGTATTTTCTATTTTCTAACGATTGAAAATTAGTCTAATTGTCGATACCTGGTACCGCATAAACTCCAAATCTAAATGATTCAATGGATAGATTCAAAATTATAATGAAGTATGCATAGTAGCAAATTAAAGATCAAGCTTAAACAATCAAGCTTAAATCCAATTATTATGAATGAATATTTATAGTAATTGTACAGTTATTACATTTAGTAACATTTATAAAATCTGGATAATTATTCCCTTCGCGTTTACTAATTGTCACATTTTTCTCAAAATCATTTGACCGTTCCATTTCAATCACCGGAGGCTCGATATTATCTGACTGATCCATTAAAACAGCGTGATGCGACGTACTACTAGAAACTAGAACCTAGAGTTGAAAGGTCATTGTAAAGAATCCTGTTGGCTATTTCATTTTTGTTACTTAAACTGTCAGCAACATAACTTTCTGCAAATGTGGCTGATTTACACCAACAATGTCTCTTGATTGCAAATACAACAACTCCTGTATTAGCCAGTAACGTTGCCGATGT